TAGGACCATCAAGGGAGAAGAGCAGAGAGCAGGACCCTACCCAGAGAAGCAGTGATGCCTGAAATGGAGTCAGAGATGATGACGTGGAGCGATGGAGCAGCTGGAGACTTCAGATACAGAGAGGGAGAGCGAGTGTGTGCTGAAGACCTGGGGGCACGGGGGAAGGATTGCATGGAGGGGATTGTAACCATGGCAATGAGACATACACGATAGAATGAATGTAATACCAATGTTCTCCCATGTAAGCTATCACATAATTCACAATAAAACATAAAAAAAAAAAAAAAAACAAGTGGCAGAGGAGGCCTAAAGCAGAGAGCAAAGCATCCAGCTGATAGGAAGCGAGGTGAGATGACCAAGAACACCCACACTTGCAGATAGTACCCATATGACCAGGGTTCAATGGCTGGATGATCAGAACTTGACTAGGGGAAGAAAGAAGTGTGAAAAAAGTAATCCGCTACAATTTGATGTACAAAAGAGGAAACGAATCTTCACAGCAAGGATCATTCCCATCCCCTCGGTACACAGGGCTGACATGAATGGGCAACTTAGACATTGGCTACCCAAAATGTGTGGGGGTTGGGGCTAAAAAAGCACGAAGTGACTGGCTTTCAAGTTTTCAAGAGGGAGCCTAGTTCCAGAGGGGGTGGGGGAATGGTAGAATCGCCACTGAGTGTTTTCTAACCTGCCTGGACAAGGCTGGTGAAAGGAGATGGGGATAAGACTCTTGTGGTTCAATAATGAATAATTGCTATCACGACTGATTGTGAGTGGTGCAAATGTACAGGTAGATTTTTTTTTAACACAAGGAGAGGAGTGATTGACTTTGCAGTCCAGGAGCGTAGGGCCCTGGGACCATCATGGGAGAAGAGCAGATTGGGGGACCCTATCCAGAGAAGCAGTGGCACCAGAGATGGAGGCAGAGATGGTGACACGGAGAGATGGAGCGGCTGGGGACTCTGGACTCAAGGAGAGAAAGGGGCTGTGTGCTGACAGCCTGGGGTGGGGGAGAGACAGGCTTGTGGGGTGGTCTCTTTGGTTGTTTGAATGGTTATATATTCCTGAATGCTTCGGTGCACATCCAAAAAAAACCCACAGAGGGAATAGAAGCAAATGCTGTTGAATGATGATGCACTGCAATCAAATGAACTACGATAGGGTGAATGTAAAGGTGATGTTCTCCCATAAAAACTTAAAAAAACTAAAACAAGTGACAGGTCAAAGAATCTCCCTGAATCCACATGAGGAAGACAAGAGTTGGTGGTGCTTCTGTGATGGTAAGGGCTCTAAGAAGCTAAATGACCTGTCCAAGTGACAAACAACTCGTCAATGACGCTTTTCCAGAAGCCACCTCTACCTCCTCCAAGCAGTCAATGGATCTGACAAGCTAGTGCTGTTTTGTTGTTAAGTGCCATCAAGTCAGTTGGAACTGTTTCAGCTTGGAGCTGTTTCAGAGGAGCAGCTGGTGAGTTTGAACCGCTGACCTTAAGTTTAGGAGTCCGGTGCTTATTTTACAGCACCACACAAACTAGCACAGGGGCCTAAGCCACCTTTCTCTTTCAATAGTACGTTCATTTCTAAAGGGTCAAATTCAATCTCCTTATCAAATGAAGCCTTAAAACCTCACACTGATAGAGCATGCATATACCTAGTTTATGGGCTTCCTCTTACTGTACCTCCTTCCTTCATTCATATTTTCTTTCATGTGGGACCACCAACCATCCAACAGGTGCTGCCAAGAGCCTCAACTAGTACGGCTGCAGTAGAAAGTAAAAGGAGAGCATAGATCAAGGGTCACAGTGATGGAAAGCAGGAGTTTATCAGCTTGATGATCTCTGGATGATGGTTTGCTCATGCTATGCCTCCTTAGAACGTCCTTCCTTCTACCGGCTCATCATGGCTCACCTCAAGCCCTTTACCTGGGCCCTGATAGGTGAAAACTCAGCTCCCTGCTGCATCCAACAGACTTCCCATTTGTATAAATTTATGGAACTCCCCTCAGAGTTGGCATAATCCTTCACCTCACAGAAGAAAGTGCGATGCAAAGTACCAGTGTAACCCAGCACCACAGATTTGTACTCCTGACACAATGCCAAGCTGCCTGGGCTCTGGACTTTCTAAATCAGGCATAGTCCTCCGAGCCATGCTGTCATCTCTAGACACGTTCTAGATACCCAGCACTTTCTTCTTCTCTTTACCAAAATGCTAGTCATCTATCAAAGGAGCTCTGGTAGCGTAGTGGTTACGAATCCGGCTGCGAGCCGCAAGGTCAGCAGTTCGAAACTACCATTAGTTCCGCGGGAGAAAGATGAGGCTTTCTGCTCCCGTAAAGATTTACAGCCTCGGAAACCCTGTGTAGGGTCGCTATGAGTCGGAACCGACTCCACGGCACACAACAACAACAGTCATCTATCAAGACTCAGTTGGTCCTGATCCACCTCCCTCTAGATGGAAGTAGACGCTTCTGTGTTCTCATGGTTTCTTTGCACAACCCCTTTAACAGGATGTGATGTTGTTGTTCAGTGCCATGGAGTTGGTTCCGACTCATAGCGACCCTGTCTAGGGTTTTGAAGGAGTGGATGATGAATTTGAACAGCCGACCTTGCTGTTCAAAACAAGCTTGCAGTCGAGTGCTTGCTTACCCTACAGTGCCACACCTAGCCTCTATTTAACCAGGCTATCATAGTCTTCCGCTCTCATGAAGGCGGGACCACTCTATCTTGAAGGCCACTATACCGCCTGCCCCAGCACAGGAAAGTCGACAGAATAAAGAACAGCATTATTCTCTTCATTTACTGAAGCAGGTTATTCCGACTCTTATTCTTAAAGCCTATCTCCAGAAACGTGGTGTCCAGTCCTATTTACCAGAGAAGACTGGAGATGGCAGGAGTTCGGACAGGACACCAGGAGGAAGCCAGGAGATCTGGTGCAAAGTGGGCAGGAAGGAGGGCTGTATTCCAGCCCCTTTGGTGTCGGGTTCAGCGCTGGGCGCTTGGGACACAAAAAGCAATCAGGGAGTTGGCCTTTGTTCTCTACAACCTCTCACACAGTCTGCTCTGTGACCCTGAAGTCTGGATCCCAAACCCGAATGTTCCCATCTGAAAACAGAGACGGAACATCTGCTTTCCTTACAAGCTGAGAAAAGCAGCGCGGGCCAAATGTCAATGATTGTCTCGTACCACGGCCTGCTGGCTTCCCTTTCCCGGTCTGCGGCAGAATCTGGACCCACTTCCATCTTAACCTGCAGTGGACCCTGGTCCAAAGGGGATGTGCCCTGGCCTCACCTGTTGGTGGGGCGTAAGCTCGGGCCCAGAGCTGCGGGATTGCCCCGGTCACCACCGAGTTGATGGGGCCACCCAGGGGCCATTTCAGGAGGTGGCGTCCCCAGTCCCGCAGCTGGAGGCAGCTCCACCACATAGTGCCCGAGGGCCTCCGAGGACACGCGGAACGAAGCCTGAGCGCAGCACACACCGAGCACAGGGATCGCCGCGCAGCGCGCGCGAGCTGTTCAGAAACTTCTCTCACCGATTCCCAGAGCCTTCCGCTGCCCTGGGCGCCGCCATCTTCCACATGACACAACCAGCACACTGTAGCTCCGGCGCGCCAATGCGCGCACACCCGGCTAGCCGCATCACAAACGCACGTCGCCCCACCCCTCCACGCCGAGCCTCTAGAAGAAAACTACAAGTACCAGAGGGCCGATCGTCATCCGCCACGTGTTTTCTCCATCCGCCAATGGGAGAGCGCGCTGCATGAGCCTGTGCCGGCTCCTGGCAAACATGAGCCAATCGGAAGGGGCAGAGCGTGTGTATGTATGTGTGAGTGTGCGTTTAAGTGTAAGAGCGAGAGACTGCGTGCGCGTGCGTGTGTGTGCGTGCGCGTGAGCGCGCGAGACGAGCGGAGGGGTCCGGCGCAACGCTGGGAAGCCCTGCTCGCAAGTCCCGGGGTCCCGGTGGCGGCGGGAGCTGTAGTGGGCAGGCGGCGGGCGAGTGGTCTTCCCTGCGGCCACCCGTGCATGCGCGCCCGGCCCCCCTCCCCTCCCCCTCCTCGGCTCCCGCGCGGCGACGGCGGTTCCTCTCCCCTCCCCCAGCCCTGGCTCCGGGGGACCCCGCGATGCCGGTCCGCACAGAGTGTCCACCGCCGGCGGGTGCCTCGGCCGCCTCCGCGGCTTCACTCATCCCACCGCCGCCCATCAACACGCAACAGCCCGGCGTGGCCACTAGCCTGCTTTACAGCGGCTCCAAGTTCCGCGGTCACCAGAAGAGCAAGGGGAACTCTTACGACGTGGAGGTAGTGCTGCAGGTGAGCGCCGGACGGTGGCCGCAACCTCGAGGTGCTCACGGCCCGAGCCAGCCCGAGGTCCTCGAGCCTGCGGCCGCGGATCAAATCCTCACTACCCGGGCCTTCTGCGCCCGGCGCTTCTCAGCTGGGACCTGCCCAGCTGGTGTTTCAAACTCCTCGATCCACAACCCCAACCTGCCTCTCAGACCGGGATCCAACCCTAGACTTGGAGCCCCTTGACCGGACTCTCCGTGACCTGCCCTCAGGGATCAGGAAGTCCTTACCACTTGAACCTGGGCACCACTCTACCCCCACCCCCACCCCGTAATCAGTCTTGTCGACCCTAGATCAGACGCCCACCAAACTCTCAAATCCTGAAGTCCACATTGGATTTACTTGACTGGGGACACCCCTCCCATGACCGGGCCCATGACATTCTCCCAGACCTGAGACCTGGGCCCTTTCCCTCAGTCCCAGGAATCCTCCAAGATCACCCTCCTCCTCTTGTTTCCTCCTTGAGAGAACTGAATCTGATACCCTTTGGCTCCCTTTATTGTATTAGCCCCTGATCCTGAGAGCTTCAATCCCCCAACTGATTGCTCAGCCTTAAGACCACTCTCCCAAACCCCAGGGCCTCACACCCTGAGTGCTGCTAGATGGTGCTCCTCACAGTCTGTTGCCTCTTGTCCCCTCTTCTCCATCTCCTACACACCCACTGCTCTGGTCTCTTCTCCATACTCTCAGCACTTCACAGCTGCTTCCACCTCCAGGCCTCCTGCCCTAGGCCTCTCATACCCCATTTCTCCTTCTTTGGCCACTATAATCACCTCCACTTTCCTGGCCCTGTACTAAGTCAGACCTCCCTGCCATCCATAACTGCATCTTCCTCATTCCTTGCTCCAGTGGACCCTCTTTCTGTATCCCTAAGTTTTTATCTGCACAGGCATAGGGCTACCCATGTACTAGCAATCTAACTCACCCAGTTAGTTCTATTTCTCAGAGGGATATTTCCTTTCTATGGCCCTCTTCCTCCTAGTTGACCTGGATTTCTGAGTACCTGCTGCCAGCCTCTAACCAACTTTGGAATATACCTTCACTTCTGGCCCTTCCCTGTACCTCACTCCTTATATACAAATGATAGCACATTTGATTTTTTTTTTTCCCAGTCAAGAGCAGTGAGTACACTTTTTAATCTTCTTCTCCACAAAACTATTCCTCCTCTATGCCTACTTCTCCTGTAGAATCACTTTGTCTCTTCCTTTGCGACTTTCTTCTTAGTGTGAGACCCTTGCCTACTAGGCTGTTCCTAAAAACCCCTTCAAGTTTCTGTTCCCTTGACAACTCTTAGAAAGCTCTGAGGTTCTAGTGTGATACCCTCCTGCTTCCATGGGTGAGGACAGAATGTGTCCATTCCTCATGCTTACCTGCCCTTGTCTATTTTAAATCTTAAACATCACCTCTTCTGAACAAGTAGATCTGCCACCCAAAAGATAATGGAATATATTTTTGTTTTTGTTTTGTTAACTATAGCTTGTTCATCAGTTTCTGTTTACTTTTGTTTAGCAATGCATTTTCTCATGTTTTTCTATTAGGAAAACTGTATCCTAGAGTTAATTATCTGTTGGTCTGTAAATTTAAAACTCTTTTGTGATATTTATTTAATTGAAAAACTGTTGTGATTGACATCTTTCAGTCTCAAAGTTTTATTTCTCATGAGATAATCCCTCTTCGACTTAAATGTGAACATTTACTATTAAGATGCAAGCTTTTTTCTTTTTGGTAACCATAAAATTTAAGTGGGATCCCAAATATGAGTCATGTATTTGGAATGAGCTTGAATTTGTGCCCATTTGTAAAGCCAGTGGTTTCCGATATTTTTAGGGGACTAGTGGTAGGGTAGCAAAGTGTCAAAAGGAACCCTGCTTTGGTTACTGCAGTAACTACTCTTTCCTATCATTAGGGTGTTATTTCTGAACTGTCAGGTGCCAAATTTCTTTGTGAACCCATGGTAAGGGTGAGTGAGTCAGTGACCTTGTAGAATTTGATGTTTGGGGAAAATTTGTGCTCAGTTGACAGATATCAGAGCAGACACCCTGCCCAGGGCTGGAAGTCACTTGAGTCGGATCCTTGTTGATAAGGTCTATGCTCATTTCAAGGAATGCTGCCGTGCATCCTATATCAGGATTAGTGAGCTGTTTGTCATGGGGACTAGTCAGTGGCATCTAAATTGCCCCATCATCTGGTTTTTCAGCCAGGACTAGTTTCTCAGATTCAGCCTTCCCAGAATGCTTCTCCTGCCTTTCATAACTCTGCTACTTTCTTTTCAACAGTTTTATCAAGATATTCATATACCATACAATTTCACCCATTTGATCGGGTGCACTTCAGTAGTTTTTAGTAAGTTAGAATTTTGTAACTGTGGCCACAATCTAATATTAGAACATTTTCATTACCCTCCCCCCAAAAAAATGCCCCTTAGCCGTCAACTGTGCCCCCTCCACTCATCTCCTTTCTGACCTATTGTTAGTGCCATCGAGTCTCCAACAAATGGACCCTATATAGGGTTTCTGAGGAGCAGCTGGTGGGCTTGAACCACCGACCTAATGGTTCGCAGACCAGTGCTTTTCCTATAGTGCCACACCAGGGCTTTGTTGTTGTTATTAAGTTCTATCCAGTCGGTTCTGACTCATAGTGACCCTCTGTTGGGTTTATGAGGAGGAGCTGGTGGGATTGTGGTCCAAACCAACCTTGGTGGTCCAGTACTTATCTTATAGTACCATACCAGGTCTGTGTTGTTGTTAGTGCCATCGAGTCAGTTCCAACTCATAGTGACCCTGTGTAGGGTTCCCAAGAAGGGAATGGTGGGTTTGTGGTCCAAACCAGCTTTGCAGTTCAGTACTTATCCTACAGTACCATACCAGGACTATGTTGTTAAGTGACATCAAGTTAATTGTGACTCATAGTGACCCTGTATAAGGGTTCTAAGGAGCGACTAATGAGATTGAACCACTGACCTTGCGGTTTAAACCAACCTTGCAGTCTAGTGCATTAACCCACAGTGCCACACCATAACTACACACCAGGACTGTAAACTTGCCTATTTCTGATTTGTCGTATAAATGGAATCTCACACACTGTGGTCCGCCCTTGCACATGTGGTGGTCTTTGTGACTGGCTTCTCTCACTCAGTACAGTGTTTTCAAGGTTCATCCATGTTGCAGCTTGTACTAAAGAGCTTCAGAAAGTTTGTGGGAAATTTCCATGATCTTTCAATTCCATTTTTCCATGAATTTTTATGAAGCCCCTGTGTACAACTTCACTTCTTTAATGGTTGAATAATTTTTTGTTTATCCGTTCACCAGATGGTCCACACCTGAATTGTTTTCCATTGTAGCTACTGCGAGTTGTCCTGCTTTGGACATTCATGTACAAGTTTTTGTGTAGATGGATGCTTTCAGGTCTCTTGAGTGGACACCTAGGAGTGGCGTTGCTGGGTCACATGATAACTCTATGAATCCATTATATGATAACTGATTCCAGAGTGATTGCAGCGAGTCCTGGTGTGGCACTGTAGAAGCACTGGACTGCAAAGTCGGCTGAAACCACAGGGTCGGCACTTCAGACTCAGCAGCTGCTCCTCGGAAAACCTGTGGCTAGGAGTTGGAATAGATAAGGGTTCCAGTTTCTCCACATCCTCGCCAGTGCTTCTGGTCATTTTTATTTTAACCATCCTTGTTGCAGCTGTTGTTGTCAAGTGCCTTCTCATTGTGGTTTTGATTTGCGTTTCCCTAATGGAATCCTTTGAACTGCAAGGTCGGTGGTTCAAGCTCACTAGTTGCTCCTTGGAAACCCTATACGAGGTTGCTATGCGGAATCAACGCGACGGCACTTAACAACAACAACAAATGGAGTCCAGGTGGGCACTGTAGGATAAGCACTCAACTGCAATATCAGTTTGAACCACAAGATTGGTGGTTCAAATTCACCAGTCGCTCCTTTCTTCTGCCATCCAAGAAGCCCAGTGTTCACTGTGAAATGGACAGTAACAAGAGGAGCTTCTAAGACCTTCTTCCTAAGCATTTGCTATGTTATCTTTCTCGTTGAGTTGCTGACCTGTCACCCTATCTTGTGTTGAATTTGAGTTCACTGTCCATCATCAAGATCAGTTTGGACAAAACAGTAGAGATGCATGGCTGAATGAAGACCAGACTGACATTCTGATTCTTGATCCTGAAAAATGTTTCAAATTTTCATCTTTTTATCAAGTATCCTTGCTACCTACTACTCTCCCTGGCAGTTGTGAACTCCCCAGTTTGAAAGCCAGTTGTATACATGAAATGTAAGACCTCAGGCTAGAGCTCTGTGCCGTTATTAAAAGCTAATTACTAAACCGGATTGGCTCAGCAGATGAGAATATTTTAAAACTCTTGACAGTTTCATATGGATGTGCTGTCAGAGCACCTTAACCTCATTGAAGCTTGCTGGTTGCTTTGGTGCTGACATCATCTGGCTGACTCAGTTCATTACAGTTTTTGAGTTAGGGTACCATTGGAATTAGGTGAGTTCACAGGTCAACTATATGCCACAGAACTTTTCTCGGTTTCTTGAAATGAGGCCTCATCTAACATTTCAGTGTACTTCAGTACCATTGTCAGTTTGTTGTACTTAAAATTTGTTTTACAGTAAAGTATACATAGCCTCGGAAACCCTGTACAGGGTTGCTATGAGTCGGAACTGACTCCACGGCACATAACAACAACAACATACATAGCAAAAAGGAGCTCTAGTAGCATAGTGGTTACAAATCGGGCTGCAAACCTCAAGGTCAGTAGTTTGAAACTACCAGCTGTTCCGCGGGAGAAAGGTGAGGCTTTCTGCTCCCATAAAGATTTACAGCCTTGGAAACCCTGTACAGGGTTGCTATGAGTTGGAAACGACGCCACGGCACATAACAACAACATACGTAGTAAAACACTTGCCATCTTAACCATTTTTAAATGTACAATTCAGGGATCTTAATTATATTCATGATACTGTATACGCATCACCACTATCCATTTTCAAATTTAACCAATTTTTTTTTCTTGTTGTTCAAACTACAGTTCAGTGACATTAACTTAAGTTTGTCATGTTCAACCATTGTTGTTGTTAGTACCATCAAGTCGGTTCCAAGTCATAGTGAGTTTCCCAGGAGCGACTAGCGAGCTTGAACTGCCAACCTTGTGGTTCAAACCGACCATTCCCAACATTTTCCATCAATACTATTGTATTTTGCATTGTTTTAATTGTAGAGATTTACTTTCTTAAGTTTGGATGAAATTTACTAGTTGATACGCTTTTAGCTACAAGTAACCATGCCCATTTAAAAAAAAGACTAACTGAACTTGTTATCTCACATTGCAACAAGTTTGGAGATGGCATGTTGCCAACTGGCTAATTCAGGGTCTCCCACTGGGTCCCATCTTTCTGTGCTGCCCTCCTCACACAGTCAGCACCACTGGAAGACAACCATTTTTCCCTCATGTGCCTCTTCTCAGAAGCCAGCAGCCTTTCCAAGAAGCACCTAAGAGACTTACACATCTAATTGGCCAGAACTGGGTCATTCTCCTCTAAACCAATGACTTGCAAGGGGAGCATAGTTTTGGCTTAGATCCATCAGAGTTTTTGCAAGCATGGAAAAAGGAACTTGGTTCACATCTAGCAGTGTGTCATCTTTTTAAGTGCTGTTGTTGAATTGGATCCTAGATTTATAGTGACACTGGATGGGGTTCTTAAAGCTGAAAATGTCTGGAAGCAGAAAGTCTCATCTCTCTCCAGTGAAGTGACCGGTGGGCTCAAACTGCTGCCTTTGTGGTTTGCAATCCAGTGTTTATTCTACAGAGGTACTGTGCTCCCCAGCCAGTCACTGGAAGCCATCAAACCTCAAAATGTACCATGCCTGCTATTTCTGTTTACTTTAGGCTTCTAACTCATTTCATTGAGAAAGTCAAGTATCTATATATGAAATGTATGTGGTGCTGTGGGTTAATTAATGTGTCAGACTGCAAAGCTGTTTGAACTGCAAGGTTGGCGGTTCAAGCTCACAAGCTGCTCCTCAGAAACCCTTTACAGGGTTGCTATGGGTTGGAACCGACTCGGTGGCATTTAACAATAACAACAACAACAGTATATGAAATGGTCAGAGACTCCAGGTGTGGCACTATTGGATCAGTGCTGGACTGCAAACCACAAGGTCAGCAGTTCGAACCCACCCTCTGCTCCTTGGAAGCCCTATATAGCGTCACTATGAGTCAGAACTGACTTGGCAGCACTTAGCAGTAATGATATATGAAATAGGCAGAGTGGATATTCCAATGTACTCATATTTTTAGTTGGTGTTTGGAGTCATAACTGAAGTTTATAACACATAAACCTTTATAAGATGCTTTTCCTACGTATTCTGCTATTTCATAAAGAAATCATATAGTGTAGTGGTTACGAATTGGGCTGAGAACTGCAAGATCAGCAGTTCGAAACTACTAGCTGTACCGCGGAAGAAAGATGAGGTTTGCTGCTCCCGTAAAGATTTACAGCCTTGGAAGCCCTGTACAGGGTCACTATGAGTCGGAACCAACTCCACGTCACATAACAATAACAACAACAACATTGAAAATAATAGGGTGGAGTCAACTTCCTAGCAGTGATTGAACAGTGTGGCCCCGTAGGATCAGCACTGGACTTTGAACCACAATGTCAGCAGTTCAAACCCACCAGCTGCTCCTCGGAAACCCTGTATAGGGTCTCTGTGAGTCAGAAATGACTCAATAGCACTTAACTATAATAACAAAAAGACATTAGAAAGAATAAAGCCTAGGGTTAAGGATGATACTGTGGATACAAGCAGGCATAAAGACCACAGGCCCAGCATGGCACAAGGCTGGTAGATTACCATACAGAATACAGATAGCATGTCAAGTGAGATGTGAGAGTACTCGATGTTCAAGGAAAGCACTTCCTGGGATCAGTTGCATCATGATGTGGTTTCACAGTTGGGTATGCACTGTCCTCCAGGTCTACCCTATGCTCATTGGACTTGTGGATGCTAAAGAATTACCAAAGTCCTTTTCAGCTTGTCCCCAGGGAGACTCATCCTTTTATAATGCAATTGTGTGTCTTTTCTTTGCAGCATGTGGACATGGAAAACTCTTACCTTTGTGGATACCTGAAAATTAAAGGCCTTACTGAGGTAAGTATTTGTCTTAGTTATTATTTAATGCTGCTATAACAGAAAGCCCACACGTGGATGGCTTCTACAAATAGAAATTTATTCCCTCACAGTTTTGGAGGCTAGCGGTCTAAACTCAAGAGTGCCTGCTCTGGAGAAAGATCCTTGTCTCCTTTCAGTATCTGTAGGTCCCACATTCCTTAGAGTTCTTGTGTCTTGGTATCAGTCTTCCTCTGCATCAAGGAGCTTCAAAGTGCAGGGACAACAGGTCTGAAGGACATACTCCACACCTGTCTCTTTTTTTTTAGTGGTACTTGGTCCTTCTGAACTCAGCTGTCTTCTCTTATAGCTCAAAAGAGATTGACTCAAGATACAACCTAATCCTGTAGCTGCATTCGACCTCTTTAACATCATAGAAGTGAGGATTTACAGCGTGTGAGAATGACATCAGATCAGGGCTGATCACATCAAATCACATCATGGAGGTGGTTGAATTACATTAGATCTCACCGTGGAGGATTCTCTTAATCGGCCAAACCATGGGGAATCCAAGCCCAGATCAGTTGACACAAAACTTAACTACCATTCATTCCGATGGCCTAGAAGTAGACAACTTATCTAGCAGCTTACTAGAATTACGGGAAGGCAAGTTCAGCACGTGGGAGACCTGATGAAAGCAGCCTGAATTATCTTTCCTGTGTTCTTGTTTGTTTATTGCTTGTCTATTATGGTAAAATTTATGTATAACAGAAATGTTGCTGTTAAAACCATTTTTAAGTGTACATTTCAGCAACAGTAACTACATTTTCTGTGCAGTGAGTGCTACTTGTCACCACTGTCCATTCTGGAAAGTTTTGCATCACCCTGAACAGAAGCTCTACCTATTAAACACTAATTCCCCATTCCCCTTATTCCAGCCCTTGGTAATCACCAATCGGTTTTTGTCTCTATGTACTTGCATATTCTGGATATTTCTTGTGAGTGGGAATCATATAATATGTGGCTCTTGCCACATTTCATTCAGCATGATGTTTTCAGTATTCATCCATACATAAAAAGTTCATTTCTCTTTATGAAAAATACTCCATTATGTCGCTATACCACATTTTGTTTCTCCATTCATCTGTTGATGAACATTTGAGTTCTGTCTGCCTTTATATTACTTTGACTAATACTGCAGTAAAAACTGATATATATTTGTTTGATTTCCTTCTTTCGATTATTTTGGCTATAGATCGTAAAGGGGAATTGCTTTATAATTTGATAATTCTATGTTTAACCTTTTGAGGGACGGCTAAACTGTTTTCTGCAGTGGCTGTGCCATTTTACATCCCCACCAGCTGTGCATGAGTGTTTCAGTTTTTCCACTTCCTCACCAACACTTGTTAAACATTTCTGTGTTTCTGATAATCGCCATCCTAATGGTACGGAGTGATGTCTCGTTGTAATGTTGATGCTCATTTCCGTAATAGCAACTAAATGTGAGTATCTTTCTGTGTGCTCATTAGCCATGTGTATATAAAGTTAAACTTGGAATTACACAGGGTCTAGAGGAACCCCTCTCACCGCTAAATAGTCAAAAATCTACATATAACTTTGGACTTCCCAAAAACTTTACTGATAGTCTACTATTGACTGGAAGCTTTACCAGTACCATAAACAGTTGATTGTTGTTGTTGTTGTTGTTAAGTACTGTGGAGTCAGTTCCAACTCATAGCGACCCTGCACAGGGTTTCCAAGGCTGTAAATCTTTACGGGAGCAGAAAGCCTCATCTTTCTTCCGCAGAACCACTGGTAGTTTCAAACTGCCGACCTTGAGGTTAGCAGCCCAATTTGTAACCACTATGCTACCAGAGTTCCTTAAACTTAAACAGTTAATTATTAACACATATTTTGTATTTTATATTGTGCTCTAACACTAAAGTAAGCTAGAGGGAAAAAATAATAAATCACAAGGAAGAGAAAATACATTTACAGTACTTTACTGTACATTTGGTAGCAAAGTGGTTACAAATTGGGCTGCAAACTGCAAGGTCAGCAGTTCGAAACTACCAGCTGTTCCATGGGAGAAAGATGAGGCTTTCTGTTCTCTTAAAGATGTACAGCCTCGGAAACTCTGTGCAGGGTCGCTATGAGTCGGAACCGACTCCACAGGCACATAAACCACCACTGTTAACAAATTACTCAATTGTCTTCACATTGAGTAGGAGGAAGAGGAGGAGTTGATCTTGCTGTCTTGGGTGACAGGAGGAAGAGATGAAGGAAAAAAAAGGGAGACGGGAGAGACAGACATACTCCGTATAACTTTAAAGAAATAAATACATTGTAATTTCTCTCTTTGCTTTTTAATTTCTCTAAACATCTTTCTATCTAACACCAATCCTCTGACCATTTGCTGTACTTTTGGTGCTCATATGTCATAGAAGGTTTCATGCAGTTTAAAAAAAAAAAAAAAAGTCAAAAGTAGTCTTGAATATTTGGAATCCTTTTGCCAGATTGTCTAATGGCAGTTTGTTTTTTGATACTGCTTCTTTACATCTTCTTCCACGTCATCTTCTGCTAATCCCTGTGCCGTCGAGTCGATTCTGAGGAGCAGCTGGTGGTGTCCTTTCTGAATTAGATGCCTTTTATTTCTTTTTCTTGCCTAATTTCTCTGACTAGAACTTCCAGTACAATATTGAATAGCAGTGGTGAAAGTGGACATTCCAGATTTTAGAGGAAGAGCTTTTAGCTTGTAACTTACTAAGTGTATATTGAAAGTGTTGGAGTTTTTCAATTCACTGAGATGATCATGTGGTTCTTTTCTCATTCTATTAATGTAATGTATTACATTGATTTTCTTCTTTTGAACATTCTTGGGATAAATCCCACGTGATCACAGCGTATGATCCTTTGAAAATATTTCTGGATTTGGTTCGCTAGTATTTTGTTCAGGATATTTTATATCTATATTCATGAGATATTGGTCTGTAGTTTTCTTTGCTTGTGGTGTCTGTATCTGGCTCAGTATCACGGTAATGCTTGCCTCATAGAACGAAGAAGTGTTTTTATTATTTTTTGGAAGAATTTGATAAGATTTAGCATTAACTTTTCTGTAAATGTTTGGTAATAGGTAAGCTGTCATATGACCGAGCAGTTTCACCCCTACAGATCTAATAGAGGTGATATAAATAGAAATGTGCACACCTATATTAGTCACAGTACTATCACAATAACAAAATGATGGAAACCCCCCAAGTGTCCAGCGCAGATGAATAGAGAAGTAAACTGTGGGTACATGCATGCAGTAGAATACTACTCAGTGATAAAAAAAATGCATTTCCAAAACACCTTGGAATATGGATAAACCTGGAGGATATTATGTTTTGTGAAATAAGTTAATCATAAAACACATATATTGTATATTGTCCCTTTTATGATTGACATGAACAAATAAAAATCCAGAAACTACAGGACTTCTGGCAAGATGGTAGACTAGGCAGACACACTACATGGACCTTCTACAACAAAGATACAAGAGACCAAATGAAGCAGACACAGATGAAAATCCTGGGCCTCTGAACTTCAGAGGAAAGGTTAGAGAAGTGGCCTGAGTGCATGCTGGGAAGAGAAGCTGAGCAGGGGCAGCAAGAGAGAGACAGACAGACAGACTGGTGAACAGCCGGACGGATGCATTGTGACCATGTTGGAAGTACTTTGGCCACAGAAGGTAGTCTGGCAGAGCAGATTCACACACACAACAGGAAAGGCACAATTCTTTCTTTTTTCCCTCAATCCCTTGGTGACTAGAGCTGTGTCCATTCCCAGCACAGACCCTGCTCTCCAGGAGTTCGGAATCATCTGGTCGGGAGCCACATCAGTGTGAGGTGGGGCCAGCTCTGCTGCTTTGGTACCCTGCTTTGGTGCCTAGATTCAGGCGGACTCAGCTCCGGATCTACAGAATCTGCAGAGCCACCAGACCAGCAGAGTGCCCCCTGCCTGCAGCTGTCTTCTGGCCGTAACAGACACTGAAACCAATTCCATAAGGGGCTTCCTCAAACTCCTTCAGATTGAGTGCTCTGAACATAGTCCATCTAGGAACTTGGCTGTCACTTCCTTCCCACACCTACCTCATGAGCTCCTTGGCTTGCAGGAGCCCCCCCAGAGTTTTCTCCTTTTTGGGTCCAACAGCTACACTGGTTTTTGTTTGGCGATTGGGTTTTATTCCTTTTCTTGTTTCATAGTTTTTGTTTGTGTATTCTTTCTCCTCCTCTTTGTCGTTCCATTCCCTTGGATTTTAAACTTTTTTTCTATTGCTGCTGCTGTTTTTTCTTTTCTTTTTCTCATTTTCCCTCTTCTTTTTTTTCACTTTTGATCTGTCTTTATTACTCTATTCTCTCTTTTTACCTTCCCTGGTTTTTCTGTTTTCTTTCATTCATTTCCTTTCTCACTTTTCTTTTCTTCGCTTCTGAGGAAGATAAGGTAATGGAACTAACTGAAATAGAATTTAAAGGAATGATATTTAGGTACTTTCAAAGGATTGATAGAAAAATTCAAGGAAAGCAAGAACATAAAAAACGGTTAGAAGAATTCAGGAAAACACTACAAGAACAAACAGACAAAATAAATGCAGATTTTACGAAGTGCCTGGCTTACAAGTTTTCAAGAGGGAGTTTAGTTTAAGAGTGTGCAGGGAAAGGTAGAGTCCCTACTGAATAGTTTTCATCTTGTCTAGATGGGTCTGGTGAAAGGATTTGGGGATGAAATTCTTGTGATTCAATAGTGAGTAATTGTTACCATGATGAATTGTGATTGTCAAAAACTGTAGAGGTAAAAGTTTTGTAACAAAAATGGGGGAGTAGTTAATCTTATATTCCAGAAACAGAGGACCCTAGGACCGTCGATTGGAATGTGGGACCTTATTCAGAGAAGCAGCGACACCAGAGATGGAGGCAGAGATGATGATATAGAGAGAGAGAGCGGCTGAGGACTCTGGACTCGTGGAAAGGGAAAGGCTGTGTGCTTGCGGTCAGGAGGCAGGC